AGTAAAGGTTAATTCCACACTGAACAGTAGAAAGAAGAAACCCAATATTTCAGCTGTAGTGCCTTGTTCAGGTGTGAAGAACCTAAAGGAACCTCACACCTGAAACTTTCTACTTTTCGGTGTGGAATTACACCTTACTTGTCTCTTTTACCTGTCTATGTACTACTGTACATGTATAGCTAATAATATTGTTTGCCTGTTTTATTATTTCCATACATTGCTTGGTGGAAGAAAATGATGCCAACGTAACCTTCAATCTTCTCTGAGATTAGCATTTCACATCTTAAACTAGACACTCTGCTTTTCTGCAGTGTTTTAGATTTTTTTTGTGTCGATTCTACCATTGCTAACTAGCTTTGCTGTTATCTGTATCATTGATATTATGTTAGGAGAAGCAATGGACCTAATGTAGATCCTTGTGGTACTCCACTAACACAGAGCAATAAAAGCATTTATTTAATCTGTATCCTGTTTTCTATCCATCTACCAGCTCAGTCCAAATACTTGCATTCCTTTTGATGCCAACAGCCTTTAGTTTTAGAATGATTGATTGTTTTGTGTAACTTAATCAAAAACATTCTGAAAAACTTAATACTGAAGCCATTATCATGTTTTCATTTTATGGTCATATTAATGTCGAAAGATTACAAGTGAAAATGGTTCAATGATGGTGAAAATGAAGATGTAGTGTTTATCACAAAACTGATTTTCAGCTCCCTTTCCTCCTCCCATGTTTTGTATTGCTGTTTAGAGTAACCGTAATCGTGAAGAAACTGTTAAAGTGCTGTGAAAGATGGATCTTGCAAAGACAAGTTTAGACTACAAGGCAAACTTTTCCTCCACTAAGCATGCTACATGTGATTCATGGTTTCAGTAACTAGCTACCACTGCGTGTCTTGCCTGTTTGTTTTGAGTGTGAGGCCTGCTGCGTTAGTTGTGTTGTCGAAGGGGCTGTGGTGAGTGCAGAATCTTGTTACGTCACTGCAGTAAGTCCTGTCTGGTTCCTCCTTCAGTTTTCATCCGAGACGTATTGTGATGCATCAAATAAACCCCCCAAAATTACAGATGAGGGGTATTTTCCTCTTTGTGTCTGTTGTTTATTAAGGATTTCTAAAGTCACATACTAACTTAGCAGAACCCATGACTGAAAATCTGAAAGTGAAGGTGTAGGCAGCTAGATTATTGCATTTCAATTCAACTGTAGTGTGAATTCAGCAGCGTGTACTAAAATAAATGTAGTCTTTTAAGCCGCATGGGACACCTAGGGGAAGCGAACTGTGTACACAAATTGAGAGTAATGTGTGTGCATTGCTGTAGAAACAGTCACCTTGCTTAACCTTTGGCGGTTGTGCACATTTCTGTCCCTTTTAATAAGCATGTGTTTAACGTCACTCATCAGAAGTGCTCTTTTTCTTATTTCTCGTTCAACCACATGTTCAACGTCCTTTGGCTGGAATTGTCACTCGTCGCTGAGCGTAAGCCTGAGACAGGGACAGCTCTCCGTGCTGTAACGCAGTCAAGCGAAAGATGTACTTTTTCTTCTGGCAGAACTTTGTGTTGGCGAAGCAGCAGCTCGATTATCTGGACACTTAGGGCTGTTTCAGTCTGACCTGTTTTCCTCGAATCCTTGGCCTGAATTCCAATTGAAATGCACTTCCCCAGCCAGTCTATGATCTAATGTGAAATTGATTGGAAAGGCGGAGACTCAAGGTTTTGCGTCACAGCCATGAGTCAGAGATGTGCCGGTGCTTTGCTCTGGCTGACACTTAAGCTGCATGATTAGAGCCCAGCTCGTATGGGACCAGCTACCTTTCTGTTATTTGGGTCTGTTCGGTTGAGAAACAGGATCTGTTTCTTAGCCATTCCCTGTTTACGGTGCTTTTGCATATGCGTTCGTCAGTGCCTCTGTTCTCCAAACGGCATGCAGAGCTCTGGATTCTCCACGGGCTCGTCTACGCCGTCTGAATTTATAAAGTTTTGCCCGCGTTAAAAGTAACAGTCAGCACTCGCACTGAAAGTGTGAAAGACCTGCTTTGTTAGTTGCCTTTGCATAAAGTAAAGAGAGACTCCTCAAGTGTGGGGAATTCAGGACTTGATTTCCGTCCAAGGAGGCTCACTTGCAGACAGAGGCTGGACTAGTGCGGTTAGCTGGAGGACACGTCAGAACATACAGTAAAAAGGGCCCAGTGGCCTCTGGTTCGCTGCCTGTCTAATTCATTTGTTTGCAAAGGTTTATCTCATCCAGTCATTACTTGAAAACCAGGGGTATAGCAGTCTTACCAGGTAACTTGTTCCACACTCCCACACAGTTTCGCCTCTTGTTTGTAGTCTAAATAACCCTTCCCTTTGCGTCTTCTGTATGTGTCTCGCTACTGGGACTGAAGAATTCACAGGATTGATTGTGTAAGTGCCTTTGTTTATCAATAAGAAATTCACAATATTACCTTTGTAAGTATTTTGTTATTTTTTATTACCTGTGGCAGGTGCCTTTGTAGTCCTTTCTGTTTAAAGATGCGGTCCCCGTAGCCTGTCAGCAGGACATTCCTTCAAGCAACAGAATGGATTTGGTCACTTTAGTTATGGCTGAGTCCATAGAAGCAGCATTTTTATGATGGCCAGAATTGTGCTCTTTAATCTAACTAAAACTCTTCTTAATATCCTGAGCAATTTTATTATTTTCCTTCATTTGGGACTCGACAAAGGCATGCTGCTGCCTCATAGCTCTCGGATCCCGGGTTTGATTCTCGTCATATTTGAGCGAGCTCATATTTGGTATAAACAATCAAGGCCAAAAATCATGAGTCATATTTGTTTGTATCTGTAATGAGTGTTCATATTTTATAAATCACTTGGAGTACATTAACAGGACAGCTCCTACAGTGTGCTTTGAGATTTTGATAGTGCTAGGGGGAGATTTGTGACCACTCCTCCAGAATAAGTTTCCCTTGCTTCCTCATAGCCTGGTTTTGACCCTTTGTCGATTTGCAAGTGAAAGATACTTCCACCATATACTAACCCAGAGGTCTGTACACTTGTCCAGCCCATTTTTCTAGGTTTGTATTTGTAATTACTCTTCAGAATATTTGGAAATTTAATTTGTTTTTCACATGGAAGTTGTGTATTGCAATATATAAATAAAGGTAAATTAAAATCTGAATTAAAATACAGCCTTGTTTTCTGTGTTAGGCCACATAATGTGGTACTTTGGAAAGGTGTGTAGAAGTTTTATATAGGCACTATATAGTAGGGAGAATCTTCATGCTGAAATGTACACTTTAAACCAGAGCTGAGCTTCTTGGCCGAGGGAAACAGGTATTTGATAAAAATATCCTGTACACTTTGAAGTTCAGGATTCCCACTATTTTAGAAAGTGCTCCATCTGTTTTTATACTGAACATAATCCCGATGAGCGTGTTCAGAAAGCTCATTTTTTGTTTCATCTGACCCTAAGACCCTATGTTTCCCTTTATGACTCAGATGCCAGTACTCTAGTGGTGCTGTTAGAGTCTAATAGTGCTGTTAGCTGGAGGATACATGAGCACATAAGGGCCCAGTAGCCAGTAGTTGGCCAAGTTGGAGTTGCAAAGAAAACGCTTCTTCAGTGGAACCTGGCCATGAATACCACATGCATGCAGGTGATGTCGAATGGAAGTTTTTGACACTGCATCCTGACAATGCCCGTTTGTTTTGATCCCCAGTTATTGCTTTTGGGCTTAGGGTTGCCTTCCCAACAATATTCTGTCCTGCCATATTTCTTGCTCCTGTTTCCTCGGGGGTCTCAGTATATTTGGAGGTCACTGTGCCTTGTGATGTACTGGTGCCCTATATAGAGATGTGGTCCTTTCTCCTGCTCTGTGCTCCCAGGGTACTTACGCTTACCAGATAAGAGCAGCTGTCTAATGACGGATGGCTGCATATTTCTAGATTGAAATTTTTTGTTTTGAACTTGATATCATAACGTTTCTACTTGCTTCCCCGTGTTCTGTAGAGATTAAGATGTCAATACTGACACCTAGCCCTTTTTCTCTTGTGTTTGATCGCCTGTACATTTTTTTAAAGGTTCTGTATGGAGGTTTGAAATCGCACCGTTCTGCTGCGCAGACAGCCTCTTTGCAAACTGTCATCCGAGTTGACACGGATGGGATGGAACAAAAACGGCTGAAAGCGTTTTCTGTTCTCGGGCGACATACCTGTTAGAGCAGCTCTGTGAATACGATTAGGAAAGACAGGGAAAACAAGCGTTAAAGCTGAGCTTCACAAGTTTACGGGAAAAAAAAAAGATTTGTGGTTTATGATGATGTAGCAATATTAAATGACTTAGTCCTGTTTTAAGAAAGTACCACGATTGTATGTGGTTCAGTTCAACCCCATGAACAACATCTGGGCGATAAATCTGTTTTCAGGCACTGGTCCTGGCATGCTTGCAGACTAGTTTGTTTTTGAGGCCAGGAGGTTTGCACTGAGAGACAACCTGCTAATTTCTGATTTTTCTCTTCCTGGCCAAAGCAGTATACAGTGGCCTAGTTTTCAGGAATGCGCACAGTTGAGGGAACAGTATGCAGTTTTTCTTTCCTTTCTATTAGTTTGTGTTTGTTACATGGACAGCACACAGTGGTGATATTCATGTACTATGTGTGTTGTAAAGTACAGAAGACCTGTTAACGTTACATGTGTGCAGCAGGCTGTAAGCAGATTGTGTTTTTGGAAGGCTTTTTTTGTATTATGATTTGATTGCCACTGAATCTCCCAGAGAATTATTGTGCTTGTAGGCCTGCCAATGTACATAGGAGATGTTCTAAACAAGAGGGGAGACAATTTGGCCCATCGAGATCATTAGGTTTCCCCTCAGCCTCAGCCGTGTGGGCTGGGTAGTTTGTTCCATGATCCCATGCAATTTCACTGCTTTTCGCTTATTACAGACTGTTTTTAAGGTTGCTGTAACGAAGGTATAAATTGTATGGTTGCAACCTTTTCTTGTATTTAAAAATATAGATAAAAAGTAGGCAGATGGGATATTTTTAAAGAAATAACAAATGAACCCTTTTTACACAGGCTGTTTTGTTAACAAAGAGACCCTCACTGGTGTAGTACTGCGGAAAACAAAACTTTTTTTGTAATTTGCATAAGTTCATCATTGCAAGAATGCTGTGTTAACCTGAATATGCAGTGATAAGTAGCTGTATTAGTGCCTGACATCATTTTAAATGAGCCAAGTGGACCTCTGGTGGGTTGCTTGGGCTAAACAACTGAATATCTTTTGCCCTTTCCTCAGATATTGAAATAAACCGTTTTTAGCACACCACATCCTATATGAAAGTTGCAGATGGCTTATATCAGTACTGATTTGAGAATCCCGTTTTTCATCTGCCAACTTGCATTTCAGTGTTTGCATTTACTCTTTTGTTTTTCTCCATAACCTCAAGCAGGAATTTGAAAAGGTCATGCAGATCATCTCTAGAAATGCTGAACTGTTATAGAACAGCGCAGACATGATCACACGCCTGTTGGATATGCTGCCACCACAGTGTTAATGCTTAGCAGGCACAGAGATCGGGGACTGACTGTGAGTTTCCATTTAGCTGCATATATAAAAAAAAAATAGAGCCTCTTGTTTACTGACCCAGTAATCCATGCCAGGGAATTACTAAGCAAGTGTGGATGACAGAACAGCCAAATGCGTCCGTTTTATTGCGCTTGTCTGGGCTGCACCAGAACCGGTACACTAAGGACCCGTGGACAGAGTAATATAACCTGTTTCCATCCATCCGTTTTCCAACTACTTTATCCAGGTCAGGGTCACCTGGGATCTGGTGCCTATCCTGGCAAGCAGTGGGCGTGGGCTGGGATAATCCTTGGAAGGGATTCCAGTCCATCGCAGGCAGACAAACACACACTCACACCAGAGACGGTTTTTCCCGAAGGTCAATTAACCTTCCAGTACGTGTTTGGATTGTGGGTGGAAACCGGAGCACCTGGAGGAAACCCATGAGGACATGAGCAGAACATACAAACTCCACACAGACAGCACCCCAGGAATTAAACCTGATGCTGCTAACCACTGCGCCACCATTCCACCCAACCTTTTTCCAACATGAATTTGTCTGCAGAACCCCATTGAGCTGGTGTGGCACTCATTAAGGAATACTGATCATTGCTGACTTTTAAGGGCCTCAGCTGAGGTTGCTAAGCTGACGTTTTAAGGCCCTAGCTAGTCACAAATTCTCCCAGTATTAGTGACTGGCCTTACAACCTAGGTTAGTTGATGTTAGGCAAAAAAATTTAGTCTTGCCTGTTAGTTTCGAGGAAAGATGTACATCCTCTGTGCCATTTATATGTGTGTGTTGTTAATTGTGCTTGAAGCAAGAATCCTTTTACCAATTAACCGCCACCCGTTAAAGGCAAACAAGATGGGAGTTGAGACCTGTCATTTGTAGCCTTCAAGTAATTTTTGCAGTGTGTTGGCTTACACTTTTAATATTGGTTCGGTGACAAAGTAGTGCATATTTAAAATTGTATTTTGAGATCTTGCCTAGATGTGCGACAAGTGTTTAGATGCAAGATGCAGTTATGAATACAGTTCAGCCCTGTTCCAGACTATGCAAGAGACTTTTGTTTCAGTAGGTACAATCTTTAAAGTAAGCTCAAGGTACAGTGCTTTACTTGAGTGGATTCCAATGGGAGATTTTTACACAGTATTGAGAGTGTGAGTGAGAGACTTTAGAAGAGTCCACATCCATCCAACAACCACTCTTGTTTCCATTTTTTACTACAGATATGGAGACCCATAACCTCAACATTGTACTTCCCCGTCGGCCCTGGCACCGGATTCCTATACTTGGTCAACTTGTATTTCCTTTACCAGTACTCAACAAGGCTTGAAACAGGTAGGTAGCAGTCCAATACTGATGATTTTTATGGATGATCTAGCAGGTACTGGTGTTTAGGACCGAACAATGTAAGCGTTCGACAAGGGAAGCTGCCATCAAACTCGGGAGAAAATATGCTCTTTTGTCTGTCATTTGTTTTATCATCTGCATCATGTTTCTGAAAAAAACACTTTAAACCCAAGAGCTGCATGCAAGTAGTTTCAGGTGTTTTGGATACGTTTGATGCTTATAACCATATCATATCATGCCAGCAGCCATATCACCCTGCAACTCACAGCTGCCAGCCCACTGAAGCTCAGCAGGTGTGAGCCTGGTCAGTACCTGGATAGGAGACCTCCTGGGAAAAACTATGGTTGCTGCTGGAAGAAGTGTTAGTATGGCCACCAGGGGGTGCTCACCCTGTGGTCTGTGATGGTCCTACTGCCCCAGTATAGTGACTGGGACACTATTGTCAAAAAGGTGCTGTCCTGTCCTATCTGTGGTCATAAAAAAATCTCGAAAAGAGGAGGGGTGTTACCTTCCCTTCCTGGCCAAATGTTCCATTGTCCTTTACCAATCATGGCCTCCTTTACCAACTGGCTTCATCACTCTGTTCTCCTCCCCACTGAGAGCTGTGGTGAGCATTCTGGCGCACTGTGGCTGCCACCACATCATCCAGGAGGGGTTGCACACTGGTGGTGGAGGGGAGTCTCCATTACCTGTAAAGCGCTTTGAGCGGAGTGTCCAGAATAACACTATATAAGTGTAAGCAATTATTATTATTATAACGTTTCCTTGGCAAAGGGTTGTGATGGTCATGAGATTGTCAGTGTCCACAGCTCTGGCTTGAGTCCCCATGAAAGCCTGAGTTCTGAACTGGTTATACGTGATCAAAGCAGGAGGCAGATTTCTAAAACTGACTCAATTGCAGCACCTCTGTTTAATAATATTTACCATGCTTCCTTTTACAGGTGCCTTTGATGGGAAGCCAGCAGACTATGTATTTATGCTGCTTTTCAATTGGATTTGCATTGTTGTATCCTTTGGACCGTCCATTGTTGTATTTTCTAAAGTAGTAAACAGTATGTACAAGGCTCTGGTATCTGTATTCTTATTTGTAATATTCTTTCACTCTTGTCTGAATTGATCTGTAGTTTCCACATCCCAGAAAACCAAAATGTTTAAGTACTTTCTCTCAGGGTCATTTCATCCTTTTAGCTGTGGTTTTGTCTATTTCAAAGATTTTTAAATTAGCCTGAATTCCTTTTAGCCCTTTTTCCCTTAACCTTATGCACACAGATAACAGGATTAATCATGGACATGCAGGTAAGTCTTTCCTCTCCTGACACATTCAGCTTCCGGCTCTTTTGATTCTTTGATGGCTTTTTAAAATGACACTTCCCATCTGCAAGTGCAACTATATAAAAACAACACTTTTTCGTTGCAAAAAATACCATAAGGGAAACTGACTGCTGTAAAGTACAAAGTGAGTCTGTGAAGCAGCAAGAATGACCCTTGGGTGTGCTGAAAAAAATGTGGACATGTAACAGATCATAGTATTGCAGAACTCCATGGTTATGGTTTTTTTCATATAGACCTAATTTTTACAGAAAACGGGTGAATTTTTTTACTGTCTCCCTCCCCAGTGGTGTCTCTAGAGATGTAAGATCTGAGGACTAGAATACATTGACTAAGGATTTAGTGATCTTTATTACCTCATTACATTGATGTAGTGCTCTAGATGAAGTATCTCTTATAGCCTGTGTATGCAATGGAGAGTGTATGGAAGACCATTTTCAACTAGTCAAGGGAGCAGACGTTTTTAGAGATCAGAAGAACTGGTATTTTACAGTTTTTAGGAGTTTAGTAAAGCCTCTTATTTTGACTCTCAAATCAATCTCTAAAAAAAGCACCCAGGTGTTTTTCCTGACTGGCAGTTTTGAAGAATGTGTACGTATAAACAACAAGTTAGGCTGGCCTCTTCATACACCTTCCTGTTTTGGACTTGGGTGGAACAGAAACTTGAGAAAATCAGACCTATTGTTCTTCTGATGGTAAATAGAATGTATTATTTGTTTTGTAACAGATCAATTTTGTTTTACAGCTCTTGATGATTCCGCTGATAATGTCAGTGCTGTATGTGTGGGCTCAGCTGAACAGGGACATGATTGTGTCCTTCTGGTTTGGGACTAGATTTAAGGTACAGTACACTGAGCACAGGCTCTGGCATGCCCTAAGAAAGCATAAAGGCAAAAACAATACAAATACAGTAAAAACGTGAATGTGGTTATTTCCTTTACATTTCATCTGTAAGATTACATAATATTTAGAGCACTAAAGAAACATTCAGAGTGTGTGCTTCATTAATTTCTTTCAACTGATCTGTTTCAGGCTTGCTATCTTCCTTGGGTGATCCTGGGATTCAATTATATCATTGGAGGATCGTAAGTGTTTCATATTTTATCACAGATGTGCAGTATAGAAAGCGGAAATGTCTGCTGTTCTTTATGTGTTGGGCTTTTGTAATATTCTGCTCATTTTTAATGCCCTTTAATTAATTTTTTAAATTGTATGTATTGTTTCCTAAAGACTTGTTCCTCATAAGCAAACAAGTAGTAATAATGATCAATAAAATGTGAGTGTGTGTGAATGGCCCATGCTAAAGAATGTAAAGTAAAAAAAACAAATTAAAGTCATATCAACTTCATGGTGGCATATTCTTTTCTCATTGTCCTTTCCTGCATACAGCATTGTCAATGAACTTATTGGAAACCTTGTTGGGCACTTGTACTTCTTCCTGATGTTCAAGTATCCTATGGACTTAGGAGGGCGGGCATTTCTTTCAACACCACAGTTCCTGTAAGTTTGCAAATGTCAGTTTTTTACTTGACTGTTAATCGTTGCTGTTATGGGTAATAAATGCAGTGTTTTCCTTATAGCCTAACTTTCTAGGTAAATACTGTACCAGGTGTATTTGCATCATATACTTATTTGCTTCACAACACCATTATTGGGATTTCAAGAACTATAGGGAGTAAGTATATATAAATATAAATTTATATTATTATGTTTATTGGCACACTTTAAAGCAAAGCATAAAGCATAAATACAGTCAACAAGAGTTGAATTCTTTGATTTTTAGTGAGCAGAAGTTGAGTTAAGTGTATGGAAGCTTTTCTAAACCATAATAACAATACTGAGCATAAGGAAGTTGCAGTCTATTCTGCATGTATGTTTTTTTTCAATGACCATGATGCATTTGAGTGACTGTGGCATAAGTGCTTCGTCATGTCCTTAGAGGGAGAATTAACTGGGCACGATTGAGGTTATGTAAGGCATTGAATGTCCAGCCTTGTACAAGTGCCCCTTGTATTTTCAAAAAAAAAGTGCAAATTAGCAAATGAGTTGCAGGCATAGTTGATTTCTTTTTACTCATTATATTCCAAAATATTTGCCAAAAATACTTGAGACCAACAGGGAAACGTAAGCGCTGCTCCGATGTGTTCAGTATGCCTTGTATAATAAGCAGGTGCATTGTGTACATGCTGGTGTAATTTAAAGTTTTGTGTAAACCAGCTAAAGAATTCCATTAATACATACTATTACTTCTAAAATGTAGCAACAATCTTTTTCTCAATTTTTCTCTACTAATTAGAAACTGTGTAATAGATAAACATTCCAGGTTTTTTTAAGTCCTCAAAAACAATGTAATATACAATAGAAAAATTGAAAATATAATTGTGTGTTCTCCTTTAAGGTATAATTGTCAAAATCCTGTTTTAGAGCACTGTTTTATCAATATAAAGCCATCAGTGATTGAATCTGTTAAACAGTATTACATTTTTTTTTTACCATCAGCATGGAAAGAAAAGCTCATATTTCTTCATGCCATCATCAAAAGGAAGCATGTAAAGCCTGAATGGCAGTAGACCCAGATCAAAACCCCGGGCAACGCCAAATCTTAGACCTCTGTTCAGGGTTAAATTGATCTGAAGAGAGACAAACTGGCCGTTTGGTTGATCATATCTGAGATGCCAGTGAGCCTGTATTAGCCTTTGAATATGTCACAGGGTTCCACGGTGGCGCAGAGCTTGTCACTGCTCCCAGCATTGGGGTTCAATTCTGGACCTGCGGTGCTGTCTGAGTGGAGTCTCCATGTTCCGTCTTGCTCTCGTGCTAGTGTGGTGTTTCCTCCCACAGTGCAGAGACATACTGGTAGGGTCACTGGCTTCTGATCAAGCTGGTGCTGGTGCCTGTGTGTGCTCTGCGTTGGACTGTCGTCCCATCCAGGGCGTATCCTGCCTTGTTCCAGGTTGCTTGCCTAGAATAGACTCCGGTTCCCCCATGTCCCTGAATTGGATTAAGTGGTTTGAAAATGGATGGATGAATACAAAACCTCTATTTTTTTTTTCCCATTTGACTTTAGGTATAGATTCTTCCCCAGCAGAAGAGGTGGTGTCTCTGGGTTTGGCGTCCCTCCAGCTAGCAGGAGACCTGCAGCTGATGAGCAGGATGGACGCGGCCGACACAACTGGGGCCAGGGCTTCAGACTAGGAGAGGACTGAGGGGGGTCTTCCTTCACCTTTGAAGAAAGACTTTCATTATTGTGCAAATCGAAATAATGGTTCACAAAAGGCAGTGGATTATGCCCTGTCAAGAGAAGAAATTTGTCCGGCAGTGAGATCTAAGCTGCAGACCAGCATGATTTTTTGTTTCTATTGCTTTTTTTATGATGCCGTAGTGCATTACATAGTGTACCTGATAGGTCACCTTATGTGCACAAATTCACAACAACTTTTGCAAGGCTTTATTAAACATGGGTTTTGAAGAGATGTGTACTATAATTTGAGCATAGAAGAAACCATCGGATTTCTTTGCATGTTCCTGTCTGGAAAAAAACACGACGAGAATTCTTTTCAGATTTTAAAAGTTTGTTTAGTGTTCATTAATATTTCTCATATACTACTACATAATACATACAATACTAAAAAAATATTTCATGTGAGTATCCCATTGTTACTTAGGTTTGATGATGGTCATTAATCTAACCTCTATAGTTACCTTAATTGGATGGGATGTACAAATAAAAGCAGAAAATCTAAATTGGAGAAATCGGTATACTTTTAATAGCAATTGATTCAAGACTACTTTGCTGTTTTCCAAATGGACACCAGGCATCTTGTTTTGCTAGCTGTACTTATTGATCTTCCATCATAACAAACACACAGCAGCTTTTTAAAATTCTTCACAAACAGCAAGCTAATTTTTGGAGGTGAAAACTTGAGTTAAGTGCTACATGGGTGCACTTTTACATTAGGTACAGTTGGCTCCAGAAGAGCTGCCGACAGTTTGAAGCAATTCATCTACATACAGTACCATTAAGATCAAGCTGTTTAAACGTTTCGACATTTCCCTAAAGAACTGGGATGAAACATAGCTCTTGAATTGTTGTGCCATAATCAGGTGTTAACTGTTTGTGGTCTTAGCTGTGTACTAAGGTTGGTTTACAGAGAATGTTAGGTCAGGAAATTGAGTCATTTTATATATTTTGAGATTAAAAGCAGGGTTTAAATGTTAACTACTGAGATTATATAGAAGCCTTTTTATTTTCAGTTAAAGCGCTCATAGTAAATTAGCTTGGTTTTCTTTAATGCATTCACACAAGGTGAAGTTTCTCAGTAGAATGCTTATTTGCAACTACGTCCAGTATATGTAAATTGTTCCATACAATCCAGAATTGGAGAAAACAAACTTAATTAGCTCACTTCTATATTGGTACTGTATTGCTATAAAAACCTAATTGTAAAGTTATCATTACTTAAATTGCAGTAATCGTTTTATATACACAAGTGAATGCAATGGTTAATATGTAAAACGAATGTTACAATATATTACTGCTTATGATTTCTTGAACTTTTAGGTTTTTTAAATGCAGCTGCTTATTTCAAGACTTTTTATCTGTGGTTTTCGTCCTTTCCCGATAAAATTATTTATAACCCGATTATCAATGACATAGGTGTTAATACCCTAAACAGCAAATTGTCCCTCTGTACACTGTTTTGTACAATGGGATCCTTTCTGTAGTAATAGAACTAAAGGAAATGTTCAATTAAAACCAAAACTTGTTGTGGGTGCGAGTTCCAGATGTATTCATCCTTGATAAATGTTTACTTTGTCTAATAGTAAATCAGCATTTTCGTCCACATTTAGTTTTACTGATGAAACAGGCTTGTTTTTAAACATTTCCAAATATTTAAGCCCCTTTATGTGGTAGTATTATTTAGGACTAGTTTATATGTTCTGTTTTTAAAATATTTATTCAGATTTTGCCTTTTTTAATTATATGATCTCACTTAAACAGGTAGCACATTCTCTTATAAAGTGCAGTTGCACATCTCTTTCAGTATTTGTAATATGAAACTAAAAACCATTTAAAAATTCAAATGCAAACGTGCAAGTAAAACATTATACTGCTTCATTAGGAAAACACTCTCTCCAACACTCGTTCAGTTTAAATAGGTTGTTTTTATTGGGTTACAGCAGATGGCAAATGGATAAAAAAACATTAAGCATGACCTCCATAGTAGCACAGTATTGTGATATAACGTTCTCCGAATATGACACTATTGCAGAAGCTCAACACAAAGTCTAAAGGAAGGGTTATTTCTGCTGTTGAGAATGAACTATAAGATCATCCTAGAAAGCTAACACTTAATATCTGACAGACCAGTACTGATGTGTCCATTACATTGAGAAAAACAACTGAAATTGGATATGTAGTATTTCTCTTAATTCATTATACACCTAGTTTTCATTTTACAGTTTCCCATGAAATAGTGACATTACTGCTTTAGCAGGACCCATGTTGCTTTTGAAGCACAAGTCATTCCTCTTAAGAGAATCGTTGACTTAAGAAATGCACAGATTGTCCAGCCATTAGTAGATGGATTTCTATTTTCTTCTTGACAAAATCGAAACAATTTTTTAAAATTTAAAGAGTGAAAATATTGTCAACAAATATAGTGGTTCAAGGTGTCTATAAAATGGAGAATATACCACTGCAGGTTCATCCAGAAATTACAGCGACCACATGTACCAATTATAAATGTAACAAAGCTCCCCAAAATTGTAGAAATCTGTTGCAGTACGGAAAAAAATATTTTTAAGGATCCTTTTTTAAAGTTTTATAATGCAGCAGAACAACTTTGGCACTCTCAAGTCAGCCCCAGATCAGTGCTGTTGGCGCATTTCAGTTTATTGTGCCTCTGACTTTGTGGTTCAGATAAATTCATTGGTTCCAAATATGAAAATATATATCATCTGTTCTCTTCCCATAGGAGATCTTCTGTACATCTGGCGGCATTCAAATCTTCACTCACCTGAAAGTAAAAAAAAATCCTCAATGGGCTGTGAAAATTCTGCCATACACAGGATTATAATACACGACTGATAGTCCCATCAGAGACGTGTATGTCTCATTTGATTCTACAAGCTTGTACTTGGGGTTGCTTATGATGCCCATGTAGCCAAGGCTGTCCCTCAGATTCTGCAGTCACGTACTTAAGGAGTGAAAGTGAGCATCTTCCTTGTATTACTGTTGTCTTTGAACAGTCTTCTCTTTAAAGTACACTGCTGCGTTCAATGAGACCGTTGTTTCCTAGTGCCACCCAACACTTCCAAGCACGAACTAGGAAAGCTTTAGAACGGGGGAGGGGATGTTGCTTGATAAATGGGCTTACTGCTTTTTTCTTTGAGGGGGATGAAATCTTCAAGCTGCATTAATGCTTTTACTTAACAACTGGTCCCATCAAGAACAGTTCCAAAATGTTTCACAAAAAAACGACACAATATTGAGATCCTGTACAAAATAGAATGACTGAGTCATGGTTCATGGATGATAAATTCAATTTTGGGACTATAAAAATGTTACTTTAGGTAAAAATATCCAAAGTCACTACTAATTAAGATCAATGAAACTTCCCCTAAGATTACAGAAACCAGCAAGTGCCATTAATATGCTGGAACAAAGTCTCTAAAACTGTAAGAACATAAGAAGCACAACAATAGAAGGCAATTCAGTCCTTCTAGCTCCAAAAGGCAATTGATCTAAGGATTTCATCCAGCCCGGGAGCTTGGGTCACACTCCCACAACTTTTTACATACCCCCTGTCCATGGTTTTAAATGCACGTCCGTGCAGTTTCTTCTCGTATCTCCTGGTTTTTGTATCCCTGTTGACTCTAAAGAATAAACTTTGGCTTTACAGAAAACAATATACATTTTAAGTGCTGTTAGTATACAGGAACACAATCGCCCTCTCAAGTTGTACAGCTTTCCTAATGAAAAGAAGACATACTGGGTATTTAGCATACTTGGTAATATTTCTGTCCAGTGATGGTAAAATATTAGTAATCTGAGTGAAGAAGTAAAAAAACACTTATGCTCATCCTCAGTCCCACTTGTTTCCAAACTTCTGACAGTTTCTGTAGATGCCTTTGACCTAGGAAGGCTGCCCTGCTATTTAATCCTGAAAATTACACTTTGAATTATCTAGTCCATTTTGGAAGTTTTTAATGACACATTCACATAAAATTACTCTCTAAATGGTGAATGGTGATTTCATATGCCTGATTGACAAAATCTGGTATTAGGTTCTTCCTCATAAAGGGTACATCCTTTTATATTGAATGGTTTATCTAAATGCCTTAAGATAAAAACATATCTGTCAGAGTAATATCAGAATGAATTTCCTTTTTGGAATTATAGGATTTACAAATTAAGTTTTATAAACGATGTACTGCAATATCTATTTTAATAGTCATCGATTTGTCATAAATTGTGGCTCTATAGAATGTTAATTAGTCAATAATGATGAGTCTAAGAGAAGGTTGGAGTTGGGCTTAACATGAACACATTTGTTTATGTACTGTATACCTTATTAACAATGTAGATCCCCAGTTGATAGTAAATTGATAACAGAAATGAAGATAATAGCATGTCTATCAAATCCTTATTTATACATCGGATTCTAAAGTGCTGCCTATGTTTGTTAGTTTATTTGTATGAAATCCACTACATTTTCATTTTACAAGTGAAATCCACAACATTTTCTAGCCGGGATGTTGGACCTGAAACCTTAAACATTCTCAATAATGAGAATATGCCTTAAGGACCATTGTTTATAAAAACCCAGGTGTCTGTCAGTGCTTTGTAACAGATGCCTTGGTTACCTTCCATACATTTCAGGTTGTTGCCCCTTCAGAGTCATCCTCCACCATTTCATAGGCAGCTTCTGTGGAGTCTGAAATAACGTCCTCTTCCTCATTCAGATCCACCTCATCATCATCCACCCCTGCTGCCATCTCCATCCACTTCCCATGATCCTCTCTTTCCCGGTTATCCTGGCTACCACTCTTGTTGGCTTCAAATGTTTTTGGTTCCTGCTTGTTTGCAAACCAGTCTTGGACTTCTTTGTGGCTCAGTTTGGACTGCTCTGCCAACTTCTCGATGTCCTCCTCTCTCAGCGTTCTGAATTCCTGGTAGTACTGTTGGAGGGTGCTCTGAGCGTGGTCAGCCCTTGACGGTGGGTTTTGATTTTGCCCATTCTGCCCTTCGCCATTCAGCTTCTGGAACTGCTCCATCCATTGCAGGCTTCCACTCTTCAGAGCTGATCGGTTGTCCTTAAACCAGCGGACAATTTCTGTGCGAGCCAGTCCCGTCTGGAGCTCTAACTGATTGTACTCCTCAGGAGATGGCCACTGTGTTCGTGCAAATACGTCTTTCAGAAGATTCAGAGATTTCTTGTCCAAAGGCATGGGGCTTTGTGTGGGGGCTACAGTGGACAAGGGAGATCCCCCGGCCCATGCCTCGGGCTGATGCACACCATTGAGTTCACCCTGCTGCTGCTTTGGCTCCTCAACCTCCCCCGAACCCATGGAGTTCAAAAGGGCTTGTTCCAAGTTGTCCCGTAAAGTGCGACGCTCTACAAACCAGCTGTCAATTTCCTTCCTGGAGAGGCTTGTGTCCATCATGAGGTGGTCAATCTCACCCTGTGTTGGGAAACTAGTTTTTCGGAAGCTGTCCTCCAGAATCTTGAGTTGGTCAGAGGTTTTCCCTTTGAAACGCTGTTGTACTATGTCCACAAGAGAGCTCTGTGGCTGACTGGAATCGTGAGCCATTACCAGCGACTCACTGTTCCCATAGGGCAGGCCCTTTTGATTACGATACCGATGGTCACTGAACCACTTTTTGATCTCGCTCCGGGAGAGGCTCGTGGCTTCAATGAGCCGGTAGACCTCTTTGTCTTCTGGAAACTGGCTTTTAAGGAAGCTGGACTTCAGCTCCGCAATCTGCTCTTTCGATTTCTTACGATCAAAAGAAAGGCTTGGGATGGGAGAGACTGCCCTTGGGGGGGTTTGAATGGTTTGGATGACATTGGGTCGCTTCACTTCGGGGGCTACCACTGGTGCAGCCAAGGGTCGCTTAGGAGCATGGATGTGGTTGGCTACTGTCAGTGCAATGGGAGCACATGTCATTGTTGACCCATTGGCAACTTGGGTCAACACCAAACTAGTCTGCCCAAGTAGCTGGCAGGGAACTGTTTGTATAAGGGGCTGTGTGACTTTGGTTGGCTGGGTCAAATGGGCAGGAAAAACTGTAAATGTCTGTGATATTGGCTGGATGGTACCGTTGAACATTTTTTTCCGAGCCTCTTCCACCTCTTCCGGGGACCAGCTGATACCTTGTTTTAGCCGCTGCGTGGTGAACCAGACTTTAATTTGTTCTTCAGGGTGTTTTGAGGCTGCAGTCAGCCAGGACAACTCTGCTTGTGTGGGATACGGAAATTTGTTAAATGACGTTATGAGGGTCATGTTGGCGTCCAGTGACGGATTGTATTTGGTGGTGTTTAGTGGGACGGCTATTTTTGGTACCAGGTTGAAGTTGGGAGGTCGCTGCAAAGATGGCATGACATGCGACAGCCCTTCTTTTATGGTGGACTCTGGAATAATCACCGTCCCGTTTACGTTTACAGCAGTGATGGGTTCTTTGGCCAGCTCAGCGGTTAGCCTGTCAGTCAGGTTTTCCAACTCGTCCCCTTTTCGGAATAACCGTTTGCTGTCCATTTTTGGCTTTCCAGCCTTTACTGTGGATTTGTTCATGGGAAATGTAGCCGGGTCCTCTGTGCCACGTGGGGCAGCGGAATCGTAGTTGACTTCAATTGTCTGCTCAAGGATAGTCTGGTTATTTTGTTTGATCCGTTTGAACTTGAAGTTGATCTCCCCAGGATGACACTTTTCATTATGTTCCGATAACGTGTCGAATTTTTTTGTGTTGAAGTTGCACTCTGCACACACGTACAGCGGGTTGAGAATGACGTTGGGGTGGTTGGAGTCGACGTGTTCTTTGAACTCATTTAAGTTTTGGGTGGAATAAGGGCAGTATTTGCATTCGTAGCCTCCTTGTGACTTGCACTGCTGCCGAGTGTCTGCTCCCAATGTCTCCTGCTCCATCTCCCTCTCTGCATTTACAGGTTCCTTTCCTAAAGTCCAGTTGTCATTACCCAGTTTTTGTGGAGACCCATTTTCTACTGTCCCGTTTCTCGTCTCCTCCATCTCATCAGGCTCATCCTGTTCCAACATCTCGCTTGCTCGGATCATGCAAGGAATAGTCGACTTCCTCCGGCTAGCCATGGCTGGGAGTGGAGAGCTGAAGCTGCTGTGGAAAGTGAGGCGAGGCTCTCTGTGTTAGAAAAGGGGGCCCTTTTCAAGCCCCCTCTCTCTTAGTTTTCGAGCGTCCCTGCTGACTGTAAACGTCAGCTCCAACGGGAGACTTCATGAGACCTCATCACAGACGGCCTGACCTAGAGAGAGAGAGGAGCAACAAGAACTCATTATTCAACTGCGGGAACAACTAGATTTGAATTTTTAAACTTCAATTTTTGGAGAAAAACAAAACTGCCATGGCTACAGTGTTACAGGCATACACTTAAGACCCCAGACAAAGTGGACAAATCACTGTGAATCAATATGAGCAACGGATTCATTCCTAAGTGATACAACATTGTTTTCTGTAATTTCTTTAACTTAAAGGTATTCAACATTCCACAATATCACAAATGTATAAATACAACTGCATTCTACAGTAAACTATGAACAAACCTGACTAAAGTTGACTTTCTGTGATCTTTGTAGCATCAGCTGCATAGGATTCTTAGATCGTATAGCTACCTGTATAAAAATGTCATGTTCTAATCACGGTCTGTGATCAAATTGTTACGATGGGGCAATTCATCTGGATACAAACCATGACGGTTGCCCTAACAACTCTGTGAGATGCAAAAATTACAGACTTGTAGGTGTGTTAGTGTCTTTTAAATAAAACAGTAAATTACATTTTTACTCCAGGCTGTGGATATTTCAGAGCTAGATAAAAAAGCCACAGGTCATGACTGGCACTGAGCAAGATGCCTCAACATTGTAAATCCCAGAGACCCTTCAGAAGTCAGCTACTGTAGGTCAGTAAGATGCCAGCTAACATCTCTTCATATTCTTACTGTGCAAATGAAACCACAATTTTTTTTGCATGATTATAAAGTTTTTGACAGTTTTATCACTTAATTTTAGAACATTCAATCTGGACTGTAGGAACAGGATTAAAATAATCAGATTCTGTCTCAAAGTTTTCTTTTCCGAGTCCCCTTTTTCATTGCAAGTTGCTCTTATATACGGTATCAAAACAAATGAACAACTTCTAACTGCAACACTTTAAAGAATATCTTGAAAATTCCTATTTGCAGAAGCGGCAGTCAAATGCTATTGAATATGTAAATGCATTTAACCCATCTGCTGATTAGCAGTGGTCATCAAAAGAGTTGATCGACAGAGTGTCTACTGGGAAAGTCAGAGGCTTATAGCATGCTTGGACAATGTTGGATCAGGGTGCAGATGGGTTCCATTCTTCTCGGAGAGTGTGGACAAGCATGTTTCTGTTCACTGGACTATGTGCATAGCTCCCAAAGCCTACAAAGCCCATCCCAGCTGTGTGTTCGATGGAGCTCAGGTCTGGCAAGTAGTGCATAACAAGCACTTTCTCACAAGCATGACGTTACAGGACCAGCATGAGGATGTGGGTTGTTCTGCTGGATGTCCTGCTGGCTGGACACTGTCATGACAGGATCAGCCTGCAGGAAGGGCAGAAAGTGAGTCCCAGGACTTATCTACTTAAAGTACTCTACTTCAATGTTGTACCGTGCAGTCAAGTTGCAATTCATTTCTGCAGGTGGAGTTCTGTAATGAGAATGTCCAGACTTCAGCCTCTCCATCAGTCTTAGTGGGGTGGCGTGAGTCATGGTCTCCCTCATCATGGCCTATTATTTAAAAGGCTATGTTTGGCTGTAGTGTCTTGACAGGTTGGAAATTGCTGGCTGTGAACATCCCAGATGGTGAGTAAGAGTTCACTGATTCAGACCAGCCTCCAGCATACCAATGTCACGAAGGCTTTGTTCATAAGCCTCAACATAAGACGTTCAACAGGTTACATCGCATCACCACCTGTTCGATCCTCTCGCTAGGGAGGTGATTGAGCTCTTCATGTCACAGCCAAGGTCAGTCCAGTTATATACATGGTCGGTCTTGAGTGACCAATTCATTAAAGCGATGCCAAAAACATCTAACAATATCCAGAATGCAGATACTTCATTCTTCTTAAAACATACATGTAGAAATAATAACTACTGCTGTTCAGTACAGAAGACAAAGAGGCTCCATTCAAACTATTTACTGCTACAGAAGCATTTTTTTTTATTTTACTCATGACGCCTGGGGTGCTCTTCTGTCTGAGGCCTGATTAATCCTGACAGGATTTGCTAAGGAGTACACTGACTGGAAGCCAGATTTGATGCGAAACACATATGGATGAAGGGAAGAATGAAATGATGTTGTGTTTTGTTGCTGCTTTCTAAGAGAGGGCCGCAGTACAACATCAAAAGTTTAAAGATAATGTTTTGGACCTGATGAGCAAAAGGAAAAGTGTCAACAGTTTAGAAAAAGGGGTTTCTCTTAAAACATGGGAACTTTATCGCAATTCATTGCTACTGTATATAAAATGGAAAATGAGTATTCTGAACACTTTTTTTTAACAAATAAAGATAAATTCTACTTAGTTGTCATGTTAGCAGCAAAATCACTGCTTTACATAAGAAACAATTATAGAAAAACAATGTCAAAATGACCATGTCATTAATTTCAAGTTTACCAATGAAACACTCCAAATATTGTATAAGTTGGGGAAGTATCACCAAATACTGTATAAATACAATGTAAAACATTTCACTTGGAACTATTTCCTGGAGAGGGTATTTTGAAGTCCTGCACAATACAGTCTGAACAAATGTTAACAAAAATAACAAGAACCAATCCCATCTTTGACTTTTACATTTAAGAATATTCTATATTATTCTATATTTGAAAAAATATATATATAAAGAAAATGTAAGAATCCCCAAATATTCATTAGTGCAGTAGTTTTTTTCCTAGTGGTAATATTTTCCAAAGGAACAACAATGTTACTATTTCATCATCTGCACACAGAGGGAAAAATAGCATATTATATACCACCCACCACTCTTTCAACACCTTACAGCGAATTCAGAATGCAGCAGCTAGAATTGTTACTAGGAGTAGACCATATAACCCCCATACTTAGCTCTCTTCAATGGCTTCCTGTCAGGTATAGGGTGGACTTCAAAATCCTTCTATATACAAGGCTCTCAGAGGTCAGGCACCTGTCTATCTAATGGAACTTATTGATGTTTACCTTCCAAGTTGCCTGCTTAGATCACAGAATGCAGGTCTTCTTCATATTCCATGAATTAATAAAATAACAGTTGGCGGTAAAGCCTTTAGTTACAGGGCCCCTAGCTTATGGAACAGTCTCCCACCCCTTCCGGGATGCCGAGTCAATCTCAGTATTCAAATCCAGACTGAAGACCTATTACTTCAGCCTAGCCCACTCACACCTTACATCATAGCCTGCTGCAACCATGGCTGCTGCTGATGCTGTACATGCCATTGTGTGTCTCTAACTTGGCCAACCAGGTAGATACATCTGCTCTGACCAAACTATCCTATTCTCCTCCCCACATGTCCAGAATGTGCCCAGGCTGGGTACCATCTGAGTTGGATACTGCATCACTGCCATGGATCCAAGAGGGACATCTTGGATATAGCTATCATTTAGGAAGAATTTACTGGTCTACAGAGATCTGCATGGAGTACTAACACACAGAAGACATGATGAATGAATGGATGGATTAATACCCTCATCGTTTCCTTTTTTAAATTATATAATGTTAGCATGCTCAAAGGGGTTGGGCAACCAGTTGACCTTGGACCCCTAGACGTTTTTTTCTCTCCTTACAAAGGAGGTTTTGGTTCCTCTCCTCCATTGTCTTCTGGTCTTCTGTTCTGTATTGACAAAATGTAACGTCAATTGTATCGTTAAGCGCCTTGGGGCAACCTTGTTGTGAAAGGTGCTATATATAAAAAAATAAACTGAATTGAATATTAAAAGCAACAGACCATTGTTATTGTATTGTGCTTTCTCTCCCATGTGCAGTCATGATAATAATTATATTTCCATGTGGCTGTTCCGAATCTTAGTTAACATCCGAACTACTAGAAGAAAAAGGATTTCCTACAGTAGAGCGAGGTGAAATAACATGGGGACGTATATCCGTGGTACGCTAGCTTGGACTGCTTCACAGAAGACAGGCACCAATGTGGTTCATTCATTAAACCTTCCGTACTATCCTGGGATCAACATCTTGAAGTAGACAATCAAACTAAGATGAAATAAAGACAGTGCATCATATGGGGGAACAATGAATATCCAAGAAAAAATAAGAGCAGAAGCATGAAGATATACAATGACTTCTGTAAACCTAGGATGGAAATAAGAAATATGATCCAACCCTCTACAAGAATTTGCATTCTTTATTTTTAGGTACAAGCACTAATACTCTATATACTATATATATACACTCTATATACTAATACTCTATATCTCTTAAAGGACCTGCCTGCTCACATCGACACACAGAAATTCCTCTCAGGCAAGGAAGGTATTTTATGGAAAAACGTCCAAACAGTGATCGGTTGATTGGCATACCTGTTACAGACTCTTAAAGAATCACAGCCTGAGCACTCTGAATGCCAAGCTAGTTCTGACTGCCTTTTACTGAACAAAGAAAACAACACAGCACCTGGGCAGAGCACAGGGATCCATCTGACTTAGGATGCTTAAACACCAACACCAGGACTTCCGATGTTGTATTGGGGGGGAAAAAAAGAAAAGGCAAGACAATGTCCAGACTTGCATGAGGACAGAATAAGTGATTTGCTGAGCATGGCGGGTACTACGGAACTGCACTCTTGGGCTTAAATTCACTTCAGAATTATGTAATGTTATCTCAGCAGGCACCTCTGTGTCAGGTTCATTTAACAATGTCCCTGCTTCACCGAACCACCAAACTAGAGCTCCCTCAGTTCCCGCCAGAATAATTTTGCGGCAGTGCCTCACAAAGACTAAAAAGAGTGAGGCACTGCGACAGGCTCAGCTGTAATGGCAAACAGAAACCCTCTGTACTTATGTGAAACAAAGGTTTGGCGTCCCTCCTGGACAAAGATAATGACCTCAATTCAGTTAAAAGGTAAAGTTTAAAGGCAGTGCCTGCAATGGTGAAACATAGATACAGTACGTCTGAGGTATACAGACGCATTTTCCCCAGAAATCAAAAACCCCGTTGTGTCTCTCTCTCGAGTCATCGGGGTCTTGAGAAAGGAGGTCTACAGATGGGCAGCC